ACAGGCAACGAGGGCCCGTGCAGGACCTGTCACAGAGACCTGGGCCGAGACCCAGAGGGCCCACTTCCAGCCCGGCTTTGTTTCCATGAGGTAACAGTGGGGACCTGCAAGGGATACACACCCACACAGCCACTGTCCCTCCTCAGAAGCCTCTCTGATCAGGGGTTAGAGTTCACCTCTCCTTTTGGGACATTCCAATATATGCAGAGGCCAAAGGATCTCAGAAAGTGAATGATATTAAGAAATACCATAGTCTCCTTCTCCAACAAACTCCTACTCATCATCTAAGGCCCCAAATAAATAGCCCCCATGTACACACCACAGTGCTTCCATCATGCTGCACACGCACAAAACTACCATGGCATTTAATAGATTTAGGTGTAGTTAGACATTCACTTACTTGTCTTTCTCTTCGTAAAATTACCTTCTCTGAGGGCAAAGACCTTGGTCTTAACCACCAGCATTTTACTAAATATCCTATGAACCACAAACTGGGATGAGGACCTTTCCCACCTACATCATTATACCTCTCACAATAATCCTGCAAGACAGATATTGTTGCTCATTTCACAGATAAGAAAACTGGAGTCCAGAGAGGTTAAGCCACCTGTCTAAAGTCACACAGCTGGCAAGTGGTAGAGTCCTTTTCCCTACCCTGAATGTCTAGTCAGGTTAGAATCCCTGGCCCTGCTCTGTAGCTATTCAATAAATGTTTGTCGTGCTCATTAAAAAAAAAAAATTAGTGGATCAGATCTGGACTTTGAGGGACAGGCAGAGTTGAGTTAGGCTGAACTGTAGTACTACTCAGAAAAGTACACTGTGTGTGTGTTAAAGAGAGAGAGAGACAGACAGACAGACACATTAATAGCCATCGTATTGGCCCTTTGGCTGATAGGAGAACTCATGTGGTGGAATACCAGAAGATAATACCAAAAGGTAAGCTGGGAAAGGTAGGTCGAGGCCATGTGGATAAACGCCTAGACTGCCCGGCTTAGGAGTTGAACTTGGCAGAATGTCAAGGACACAGCCATCCCTGAGACGCCAGAGGGCCCTCCTGACTCCCTGACCCCGCGAGCCACCAGGCACACCCTGACTTCTAACCTCACGCCCACCCCTGCCCAAACACCCCGGCACTAGGGTCACCTCCTGGGGCACACCGGAGGGCTGAGAGGGTGGCCCCGGGAGGAGCAGGGAGGGGCAGGACAGGGCCGCGCTGAAGGTCAGCAAGAGAGGCACGCGCCCCTAACGGAGGTGCTGGAGCAGCACCGCTGGGCACAGACACGGGCAAACGCGTTTGAGCAAATTGCAACGCCATAAAAGTCTATTACAGCAAATCAAACAGCAGTCAGCGTGACAGCCATTAGCCTGAAATGAATACACGGGGACTTAATGAGGTCTGTCGAGGCTGGCTTGGTGAATTAAGTTGCCAATTCTAGCAGGATTTCCCTTTTCTTTACGGACTTGAAAGCATCCACGCTGCCTCGTTAGGGCCTCGACAAGTGAATTGCAGGGCCTTTCACCCTGAGAAAATGGATAATCACATGGAGAACAGCTTAGTGAGGGGAGAGGGGTGGGCGAGAGGGGAACCCAGAACAAACAAACCCAAACACACACCTGCCTGGCTGTTCCGAGCAGGGGCTGGGCCCGGTGGGGGCTCTTGCAGGGAGTGGGGGCCGGGGAGGGGTGGGCGGGCTCAGGGAGCTCCTCCCGAGAAAGGGGCGGAGCCTGGCCTTGGCTGGCCTCCCCCGCCCCCCCCCGCTGTTCCTGGCCCGAGGAGCCTGGGTCCCCATGGGCCACATGTCCAGGCAGGGCTGAAAGTTCTCATCCAAGATGGGCTGCCCTCCGCACCTCTCAGCAAACCTCCGGAGGGATCCTCCAGGGCTTCCCGAACCTGGCTGGTCTCACTGCCACAGGGGAGTTGGTTTAAAATGCAGCTTCCTGGGCCGGCGCTCCCGAGCCTACTGATGTAGAACTTCAGGGCCTGGGAATATGCATCCTAACTGGTCCCCCAAGAAATTCTGCTGGGGCACGTTTGGGACCCTCTGATTCATCACTTTCCCAACACGCAGTGCTGGATGGCTGCTGAGAGAAGTGGTCCTCCTGCTTCTGCTGACTTAACTCCAGGGTTGGGGAGCTCAGTCCATCCTCAGCAAGGCAGGGAGTAGACTGTGTGTGGTGGGGCGGGGGGTGTCTCATTGTTAGAAAGTTTTTCCATATGTAGACCTGGATTTGCCACCCTGTATCGTGTTCCCTGCGCCTATCCCTGGGTATTGGGCACAACAGACCCCATTCTCACCAGGGCCCTAGGGCTGGGGAGGGAGGTTAGGAAGGTAGCGCACAGGGCGCAGGTGGCTGAGGTGACGACAAGAGCTTCTCCGCCAGCCCCCGAGGAGCAATAAAGTACCGAAGGGTAAGAAGGAACTTCTCCTCCTGGGTTTCATCCTTAGATCACGGGATGTCGGCCCTGGAAGGGGCCTAGTCCAACTCCCTAGTCTGATAGCTGTTGGGACTGAGGCCAGCAGAGGGGCAGTGACAAGTCTGAAGTCTTACCCAGCCAGTTGTTGGCATAGCTAGAACTAGAACCCAGGGTCTTGACTCCAGTCTCCCTCTTCCCACGCTACAACACAGGAGAATCCACTGCTCACCTCTGCCAGAGTCTGCTGGAAACACACCTACACCAGGAAGCCTGCTGAGATTTCTCTGATCACTCCGGCAGCCCTCTGGCCCTCACACCTAACAGAGTCTGCAGTGCCCCACTCTGTGCCCCACCATTTCTCTGGTTTGCATTGTCACCCTGTTCACATCCGCAGGGCCTCTGCCACTGAATCGCACTTCTCAAGGGCAGGGGCCTGGGGTTCCACGGTGACTCAACGCAAGCAGGAAACCCCGGGCTCGATTCCAGGCCAGGGGCCAGTAGACCCTGTGCAGGTACCCTAGCTGGGGCCTGGGCCAGGCAGCTAAGTTCCATCTCAGGTGACCACACCAGGCCAGGGCTGGTCAGTGCCAAGCCACGCCAGGTCAGGAGTGGCCCGGCCTCCGTCCAGGTGACACCACATCCCCACTGGCCACACGAAGTAGCCCCAAGTAGGGCATCGAGTACTGGGCCACTGAAGTGACCTGGGCATGTTTACACACAAGCAAGTAAACCACGTGGGCCTTCCTCCAAGGACTATGTGTCCTTTGCAGCCGCCCCCTCTCAGCCTACGCTCCCCTCATCAGATGGGCAGGAGCAGGCCACTTTATCCTGCCTGCCCTCCGTTTTTATTAGATAAGGAAGACTATGGCCCAGAGAGGTGAAGTGACACAGCCAAGCGAACCCAGCAATATGGCAGCAGAGCAGGGGCTAGGCCTAGGGTCCCCTGCCTCTAGTCCTGCCATTCCACATGCCTGTGGCCTCCCAGGTCTCTGTGCAACGAGAACCTGGCTCAGAGCCGAGCCCACAGCAGACACTCGATAAATATTTGTTAAATAAATGAATGACCGGAGAGGCTCTCTCCCTGGAGGCAGAAGCGTTTGGAGAATCCCGGGGGATTCCAGCAGGCTGGGTGTTGGAGGCGACGTCTTCTGGAGCAGGAGAAAGGAAAAGCCTGGCCCTGGCCCAAGGGCTGGGGAGGAGGGAGGTGACCCCGCGCCCCCTTACCAGTGCTGCTGCCTGCTGCCCCTGCGAGGGAAGACAGAGGGCGGCCGTGCCTGCCAGGATGGCAGCTGAGCAGTGGGTCCGAGGCTCATTAACTCTGAGCCGTGCCCTTGGTTTCCGAGCCCAGGCCCGGAGTGCAGGCTGGCACGTAGAGGCCCTTAATTAAATTAGGGAGACTTCCAAATGAGAGAGAGCGGGAGCCAAGCTGCAGTCCCCAGGCACTCCGGCCACAGCTCAGGGCACCGTGCCCCCATGCTAAGGACTGTCCCACCCTCCTGTCCCACCCCAGACAGGGGAAGGGCATAGCGCCTCTGCTGCAGCCCCACCCGAGCATTTGTCCTTCCCTCCGTCTGGCGCAACAGCTGAGTAACGGGGGCCAGGGACCGGGTCGCGTGAGCCAGATCTCGTCACCCTTGAGGGAGTCTGAGCCTGCCCTGGAAGTCAGGAGGTTCAAAGTCAAAGCCTGTGACCTCAGGCAAGTCGCTCTCCCATGCGAACCTCCTATCTGAACTGAATAGGATATTCCCTGAAGACTCTTTCTGTTCCCTGACCCAAGGGCCGATAACATAAAGGGGTTAGAATTCAAATGCCATGGTGCCAACCTGCTCTTCCAGAGGGTTCCATCACCTACTATTTCCATCCCAACCCTTTACTGCTGCCCTGAGGGACACCCGGTTAGAAGCTCTTTGCCCCCCACCTACAGGGTCTTTGAATCACTGCCAGCCCTGTAAGACTGCCATCAGCCACCCAGGTGAGGACCAGCAAGTGACGAGAACCCCGGTGTCATCGGGCGCCAGCAGCCAGCTTATTAACGAACCGTTTGTAATGCAATAATTTGTACTTCTCAATTACCAGAAATGGCTTGATTTTACACGCATGCACTCATGCAAACATGCTCGGAGTACACACACCAGGGCTGTGAGATGGTGGGGGTGAGTGCAGGGCTGGGGAAAGCCCTTCCTGGAACCGCAAGCTCCCTGTGTCCTGGGGGGACCTGATTCTGGCCAAAGCAGGAAGGCCTGGGGTCAGGCCTGCCCACGGCCCGCACCTGGCTGGGAATGGAAGGGAAGAGGTGCGACTCCTGCCCCTCTCGACTCCTGTCCCACAGCTGACCCCAGCTGGAGCTGTCTCAGGCACAAGGCTCCCGCCAACCCACTGCAGGCCACCCTTCCTGTCCCCAGGCTGGCTCCCATCCCCAGAGGTGCCGGCATGTTCACCAACCTGCCCGGGATTGACGCCGGGGCTGAGGTGTGGGCAGGAGAAGAGCCGGAGCTGCCCTCTCCCCCGCCGACTCCTCACCGGCACCCCGTGGCCGAGGAGCAGCAGCCCCCACACTCCCAGGTGCGCCCCTGGCGGCTCCTACCTCCGGGATGCGGACACTGTAGGGCTGATTGTGAAACGTGGGCGCGTTGTCGTTCACGTCTCCCACCTGGATGTTCACCTTCCGTGTGATCACCTGGCAAGAGAAGGCGGGCAATGAGTGCTGCCACTGCCTCTGGCCTCGTTCCACCCGCCGTGCGGCGCCCAGGAACGTGCCTCCCAGGACGGCAGGGGCCAGGGCACACTCACCCCCTGGTGGTCGCTGACGGAGAACTCCACCGTGAACTCCGACTTGGTCTGAAAGGCAAGGGAGGGAGGGGAGAGGGCAGAGTCAGAGAGGCGTGCTGAGGTCCCGGGTCCCCAGTCCTAAGAGGGGGTGGGAGGGCCCAGTATTGCCCCAGAAACGTGCCTGCCTGGGACCAGATATCCAAAGTCTTCCCTAAAAACTAGCATTGCCCTTTGGGTTGAGGAAACAGGTGTGGCATATGGACCCTTCCCTTAAAACAGCAATAAAAGAGAGAAGTCCAGCATCTCGGTATCTTGGCTCTGTCCCTAAGTTGCTGTGTGATATTGAGCAAGTCACTAGACATCTCTGTTGCCCCTTCCTCAAATGCAAGGAGAGGGCACAGGTTGAGGTGTGTTCAAACCCTTATCCTAATTTGCTAAGGGCTACCGTGCCATCAATCCCTGCTTCTCTGGAAATCGTCCTTTGGGGGAACATTTGGTGGGAGTGAGAGTAGCCATGTACTCCCCACGGAGCCCCATTCTACAGAGGATAAACCCAGGGTCACTGTCCTTCCTGTCTATCCAACGTTGCCCCTTGCTTTGAGAAACCCCTCAGCATCCTGTTCTAATCTTAACTCCAGACATCAGCATTGGCCCTTGAAGAGAGATACCACTCAGGCACGAAGACGCTTCTTCGGAGTCAGAATGGGGTCTCAGAGGAAGGCCCCTACAAGATGATGAGCCACCCTTGCCCCAGGGTCTGCTCCTGCCCCCAGGAAAGGACTGGGGCAGGGCAACAGGCAAGTCATACCTCTCTGTCCAGTGGCTGCCGGAGCCACACCACGCCAGTGTCAGGCTCCACAGCAAAGAAGCGGGAGGCCTCCTCCCCAGACACGCCAAACACCAGGGGGTCATTGTCCATGTCTCGGGCCAGCAACTGGGTCACAGAGGAACCTGGGGTAGCCAAGGGAGAGAGCAGAGGGCAAATATGGGAGGTCAGGTTCATTCCTCGACACTTAGCTCAGGTGGCTCAACTCCTAGCAGGGAGCAGCCACTCAACAAACCTCCAGCAGGTCCCCGATCATCACAAGAACCCCTGTGCACCTTTGGGCTCTGACCCAGGCTCCCCACCTCCACCCTAGCCCACTTGTCACGGCCCTACTGATGGCAGTAGCAGGGAACCATCATTCACCATGTTCTGGGTGCATAACAGACAGCTGCAACTTTTGCCTAATCCCTTTTTCTGATTTTAGTTTGAAGATCCCCCTCTCTAAGTGGCTCAGATGAGGGTAGGCCAACATTTTCAGTCATATGTTCAAAGAAGGGCACATAACTCAGCCGTAGCCAATCAGAGCATTCCATTTCCCTGGTCATGATGATTGGTTCAGGAATGAGCATGTGACCCAAACTAGCCAATCAAAGTCAGCCCTGGGACTTTTGCTGGAACAACTGGGAAAGAGGAGCTGTCTTTTCACTGGGGTTGCTCACTGGCACCACTGGCAGCCATCTCTGGTACCTCACAAAGAAGGGCCTGCCCTAGAATGAGGCCAAAAAGGAGGAAAACAGAGCCAAATGGTGCACGGAAAGGCAGATTCCTGACGAGTTGAGAGTCTGTAGCCAGCTGTGCCTGATATTAGCTCCATCCTCTGGACTTCTCAGCTATATGAGCTAATAACTGTCCCCCTCTCCCGCCACACACACCTGATAACTTTTCTGTGGCCTAAATCAGTTGAGTTGGGTTTCTTCTGTCTTTTGTAAACGGAAGCACCTTTTCTAATTCAGAATATTTTGCAAAATGTTCTGGCATTCATTCAAGAATGACCAGGTGCTGGCCTTGTGATAAGCACTGGAATGCAGAGAGCTTAAGAAGATGTAGCTCAGCTGTAAGGAACTCCAGTCTAGAACTGGGTGACAAGCTCTAGTTCCTATCCTCAAGAAAGGGATTGAGAGGTAGGTGTCATCCCTCACCAGGAAGCAAAGTCTGGGGCAGAGGCCACCCAGGCACCAGGATGCTTGGCTTGTACCCTGCGTAAGAAGCATCTTCTCCTGCGGTTCACAGCTCCCTGTGTAGTTTTCAGGTAAGGTGACTAACCGCCCTGGTTTGCTTAGGACTGAGGCATTTCCCAGTCTATGTGCTAAAACCAGGAAGCCGCAGGCAAACTGGGACAGTTGGTCACCTTAGCTTCAGGAGGTCCTTAAACCCCCATGAACTATACACAAAATGTTATAAGTCTACAGCGTGTCATTTTCTGAAGAGAATATGTCTACAGTCTTCATCCCATCCTCAAAGGGGCAGTTAGAATCAGAACCATGGCCTTGGGCAAAGCGCTTCTTTCAAGCGCTTTTTTACACTATAAAATGAAACAGACATCTTATTCCCCAAATACTGACTCACATATTTACCAAATAGCTCTGAGGATCAAGTTTGAAAGAAGGATTCCAAATCCTAGACATTTTATCTAGCAAAAAAGGCTAATGAGCTTTTGTAAGTGAACTTTTAAAAAGGACAGTTCTGGCTGGGTGCGGCGGCTCACGCCTATAATCCTAGCACTCTGGGAGGCCGAGGCAGGAGAACTGCCTAAGGTCAAGAGTTGGAGTCCAGCCTAAGCAAGAGAGAGACTTCATCTCTACTAAAAATAAAAAATATTAGCCAGGCATGGTGGCACATGCCTATAGTCCCAGCTACTCAGGAGGCTGAGGCAGGAGGATCACTTGAGCCCAGGAGTTTGAGGCTGCAGTGAGCTATGATGACACCATTGCACTCTAGCCAGGGCAACAGAGCAAGACTCTGTCTCAAAATAAACAAACAAACAAATAAATAAATAAAAATAAAAGAACAGTTCTACCATGACAATGATACCTAACATTTTTGAGCCCTAATCATAAGGCAGGGACTGAACTAAGGGATTTCCTGGTACTATCTATCTAATTCAGTCCTTGCTGTTATTCTCCCCATTTAACAGGGCAACAAAGAGTTGACGAAGTAATTTACCACGGCCTCACAGTTAGTGAATGGCTGAGATGGAATCCACATCCCAGGCATTTGGGGCCCAGCGCCCATATCTGTTTCCAAACCTCACACATCTCAACACTTGATATGTGAACTCAAGATTTAGGACTTCCATAGACATACCTCTATCAGACTGTAACTGGAAGTCCAAAACTTGGAAGAAGAAGATACTGGGCATTCATGAGGCTCTTATGATATGCTAGACTCTAGGTCCATTCTCACAGATTCTCTCTTTAATCCCCCCAGCAACTCTGAGTGGTAATCATTATTCTACCCATTTTATAGATTAGAAAGTTGAGGCTCACAGAGGCAAAACAGCCTCTCCAAGGTCAAGCAGCCGAACAACAGAGTAGGACATGGCAGCATCCAATGCGATGGGAGGAGGTAAGAAATGGGAGAAGCAGGAGTAAAATCATGGAACAAAGTTGGAGCAACCTCAGAGCCCAACCTTCCCATTTTAGAGACAGAGAAGCTGAAGGCATTTAGCAAGTTGCCCAAAGTAAAGTGGTGAGCAACAGAGTCAGGACTCAAACCCAAGCTTCCAAACTCCCAGATTCCCAGGTCAATGCTCTTTCTAGATGGTACAGGAGAGGGTATGTGAAAGTCATAGACAAACCAAGCATATCCTCCCAAAGAATCTGCATTGTTCAATGACAAACAATAATTTTATACTAAAACAAACAGGAACATATTGAGAGCAGGTCACGTTTATTTTTTAAGATATAACCTAAAGCTGTAAGAGAATTTCCAGCCTCCCACCCTGACTTCCAGGAATAAACATTTCCTTTCCATTGTCCTCAGGGGACCTTTAGTGGCAAAGTTTGAGAAACATTGAGCTACTTCCCAATGCCTTGGGCAGATTCCAGAGGGGGACACTGAGGCCCGTAGGCGCCCTGCTCGTCCACAGCACAATGAGTCTGTGGCAGTCTGTGCACCCCGGACTGCAGACCTCACCTGCCAACCTCCTTCAGGGCCCAGCCCAGGTGGGGGCTGCGGGGCCAGGCTCCCAGCAGCCAAGGGGATGGATTCTGGGAAGGCCACACTGGCCCTCCGGCCAAGGCTGCACAACTGGGCCCAAATGGCTCTCTCAGCCCTGACGCTCAGGTCCTTCCAAGAAGGGGGGCACTGGGCAGGACAGGGATGCAGCCATCAGCTGCTGTCACCCACCCTGTAATTTCCTGGACTTTTATCCATTTTCCCCTCAATTATGCTGTGCTCAAAATGGTCCTTTTTGGCTTCCTCATGGGCTCTTGCCTGCTCATGCCTTCTTTGTGTCCCAGGTAATTGCTAGTGACCTTTTCTAAGTGTACTAATTAGAGGTGCTGATTTAATATTGTATTTAAGACGAGACGCCCCGCAATTTTCCAGCTGGGCACATACTCCCCCGCCCAGCACTGTTCCACCGCTCTGCAGAAGCTGCCGGCCCTGGCTTCTCCGGGAAGCAGGGCTCCTTCCTCCGCTAGCGGAGGCTTCCAGCAACCACTGTTTGTTTGCACCGTTCCTATGGAAATGAGGCCAATGTGTGGAATTCCCAATTCCAGCCCAGCGCCCTCAGCTGCAGCCACTGAGGAGAACTACTCCTGGCAGAGTGACCCTGGGTGTACCTGCCACACGCTAGGTTTGTTTCCCACCTGAGAAACGGAGACTGTCCCTAGCATCTTGGGACAGTAGGATCCCTGGAGCTCTTTTTTTTTTTTTGGTGGTAAATACACATCACATGAAATTTACCACCTGGACTATGTAAAGTGTACAATTTAGTGGCATTTAGCACGTTCACAATGTTGTGTGACCATCACCACTATCTAATGCCACCACATTTCGTCACCCCCAAAGGAAACTACATACCCATTAAGCAGTCACTCCCATTCCTACCCCCACCCCCAGCCTCCGGCAACCACTCATCCACTTCCTGTCCCCACGGAGGAGTTGCCGATTCAGGACATTTCGTATGAACAGAATCACACAGCACGTGGCCTTTTGTGTCTGACTTCTCTCACTTAGCGTGATGTTCTCAAGGTTCATCCACGCCGTAGCATATGTCGGCTCTTCACTCCTTTGTAAGGCTGAGTAATATTCCATCGTGCGGATGCAACACGCTTAACCATTCGTCAGCTGATGGACGTGTGGGTTATTTCCACCTTTTGGCTATTGTGCATAATGCTACTATGAACATTTGGGCACATGGTTTTTTTTGAACACCTGTTTTTAATTCTTTTGGGTATATTCTTAGGAGTGAAATGGCTGGGTCATATAGTAATTCTAAGTTTCATTTATTGAGGAACTGCCAAACTGTTTTCCACGGTGGCTACATCATTTTACATTCCCACCAGTAATGGAGAAGGCCTGGGGTTCTTTTTGGCGGTAAGGAGGATATGCAACGATTCAGAGACTGGGGCGTCCCTTTGTGACAGAGATGGGAGCTGGGTGGGCCCCTATAGCAGAAGCTGTTGGCCCCCTGCCCACTGCCCCTCAGCACACACCATTCCCCCAAACGCCAGCTTGGCCTCCACCTGCCAGCCCCTGGGACTCTCTGCCTGAGGGGTTCTGGCCATCGAAGACTGCTGCTCCCACACACAGCACAGGCTGGGAGGGCCCCGGAACTGACGCTCTGTTAGCAGAGCTCAGCCAGTGACTGTGGGAAGATGGAAGATAAAGAAGAGAGACACAGCTCCCCTACCTCTCAAGGGCACAACTCAGAGGGACGTGTTCTACACTGGCTCTTGGAGTGTCCCAACAGATTAATCTCCAGTTGCCACAGTGGTGACACAGTTGACAATGCGTCTTTACGGCTTCCTTCCCTTCCCTGTCTCACATCCCCACTCCCCTGCCTGGGTTTCCTGTAATCTTCTCCCCAAGTAAACACTTGTGCTTACAACCTCATCACCAAGTCTGCTTCTGGGGGAACTCAAACAAGACACCCTCTAAGACTGTGCATTGGAACCCC